TCTCATACTTTGGACATATTGTCAGGAGGGACCAGTCGCTGGAAAAGGATATCATGTTTGGTAAGGTGGAGGGTCAGAGAAAAAGAGGAAGATCCCCAGCAAGATGAATTGGCCAAGTGGCAGCATCAATGGACTCAAGCGTGGCAACAATAGTGAGGTTGGCCCAGGATTGGTCATACGGTCGCTATGAGTCAGTACTGACTAGATGGCACCTGACAACACCTAGGTTGCTCACAACAGCTGCACAGCGAAGCACTGTACGTCCACCAGGGGGCGCCTCAGGAAGCTCAAAGGGAAGTCTGTGGTGGGTGGGGCCCGAGGCTTTGAGGAATGAGAGGATCAGTGGGACCAACCCAAGAAAGGGGGCTGGACAACTGCAGGTGCCACAGCCCCCAAAGCAGGGATGCACCCAGGCGGCTGCTCAGGGACTTTGGGGGTTAGAGTGGGTGGGCTCCATGTCCCAACCTCCTGCTGACTGCCTCTAGGGGAGCTCTGGTGGGGAAGGCAGACCTGTCCTCCTCCCAGGCCTCGCTGGCCACCCCACGGGCCTCACATTCCAGCCATTGCTGGGCATCTTTGGCCAGCTGCTGTGATGGATGGGGGCCAATGGGCGGGGGCGGTCAGCCACATTCCTTGGGGCCTGGGGTGGTGTCCGTCTGCTGACATAGGCCACCCTGCGGCCCCTAGCATGGGGGGAGCATTGGGAAGGCTCAGCGGTGAGACCTGGCTCCCCAGGTTGGGGGTAGGGGGGCCGTGGAGCCTGGCAGTGGCTGCTGGCATAAAGTGGGGTGTGGGGTGTCTGGAGAGCTCAGAGCTGAGATCCATCCTGCCCAGAAGGAGAGGCAGAGGGCGCCTTACAAGGCCCACTCTAGCTCCGGTCAGTGACTGCCTGGCATGGCCGTGGTTGCCCAGTCTCTCCCTGCCCTCCTTTCTGGCCAGAAAACCCAGGTTCCCCATCCCAAGAAGGGGTAGTGCCCACTGAGCCCTCCAACCCAAGAAGCCTCGCTTGGCTGTGTGTGTAGGTCTCCTCCCTG